GGGGGGGGGGGGGGGGGGGGGGGTGGGGGGGGGGGGGCAGATACAAGGGAACTGAGTCGCCCTAGCATAACTACCTGATGGGTTGTTAGCACATGACGTCATACCGAGACTGGCGTGCGTTCAATCTGAATATACTTGTGTTTTTCACTTGACCCGGTCATTTCGTGCATGGGACGTTCCTCCTACATGAATGTCGAAGTCGAGCAAAAAATAACCTTACCTGCCTGAAACACCCTTAGCTACCTTATGTGTTTTTCATGCCGCTATGATTGAGATTAAAATTCCTGGATCCATCTGATCTCGCTATGCAAGCGTGGATTAAGTGTCCAAGCAATTTGAAAGTGAAAAAAATATATTCTGGAATCAGTAAGTTAGAGCAGGTGAAAGAAATTGAAAGGATTGTTGATTGTTGACCTTGATGAAATTTGCAGCCTAATACGCATAAGAGAGGGTGAAGTAAATTGTCTAGAATGAACAAATTTGTTTACATGTGCAAGTTGACTTTGAGCTTCAGACCCAGGGTGAGGGAATAGTTGAACTTTTTTGAGATGAATCTAATTCATAAATAAATGAGAAATAGAGCCCTTGCTTGTATTATGAGTTGATGAGCAAAACTGTCACAGGGATGAGTGGTTATTCTCTTATGGGCTAATGCAGAAAAGTACCAGAAGTTCTAGACTAGATTTTGTTCCTGCTGCAATAGAATGAAAGTAGTTCACAGCATTTTCTCTCTGAGCTATTCTCACCCTGTATGCAAGACAGAAGTGCCATACTGTTCATTATCCTGAGATGGATAATTCCCAGTTCAACATGTTTACTGTCAAGGGGTAAAACACTGGTCTTCCCTGTGACCTTGTGACATGCCAGCATGCCACATGGCAGTCAACATTTAAAAATATGTTTTTCTTTATTGCAGTGATTTTATTCCATATACTGTGTGATAACTCTTTCTCAAACCATCCTAGCAAATGGTGATTCTTGTTAATTGGACTGATCTTGGAAAGTTGAGACCAAAGATATGAATATGTAATGAATTACAGCTTAGCACAGGGAGGATGCATCAAGATGTAGGGATGAACTAATCCATCTATACCTGATGGAGCAGATTCAGAATCCAGATCACAATCAGCTGATACAGGTTCAGGGACAAAGGATGCACTGACCCAGGTGTACCAATACCAATACCTCCTAGTGGCTGTTAAAACCCAGAATCAAAGTGCTCTAATCCTGGGCTTCCAGAGATCTTATTCATGAGAAGGAGAAAGGCTGAAGAAGACTAGTTCAATTTTTTTTAAATGTAAGCATGCAAGTCTTTCTTCTTTGTTCAACTGTTTCTCAGATTAGCAAATGGCATCAGAGCAACTAAAGCTGTACCTTTGCAGTATGATACGTGCTCAGAACATGATCATATGAGATGGCCACATTTTATTGCTGCTATGCTACTTGATGCTCTTTTTTTTCACTGAACAGGATGCCAGTTTTCTACCCTCCATGCTTGAGAAGTCAGGAAATTTCTATGTTGGGTACCACTCTTGGCAAATGCAGATACAACATGCTTGGCATGCAGAAAATCCTTTCTCTCCAACATTTCTTCAAAGAGGTACCAAATCAAATCCCACTACAATCCTGCCAAGAAGAATTGGAGCCCCAAGATGGTGTTTTTGAAGCTGATCACTTCCCCATGGAAACTATGGCAACACATTTCTCTTCGAAGGAAGGTGAGACATAATATGCTAGCCTATAACTTAGGACATTTATTTGAATGTCAGCCTGAGGTCTGTTATTCATTAGCATAAATAGGATTAATCTTCTTTTGGTAGGGGTCTAGTCATTCAGATGACAAATGCTATGAAAAGTTGGCCTTAGCCCACTTGGCTTGAAAAGTCTTTACCTTAAATTGGAACATCTACAATTACAACAGGTGTGAATATTTTCAATTTTTCTTCGGTTACGACGTCTTATGGTCAATGGTCTGTGAGGGAGAGTTGGCTTACTCGACTGGTTTGGCTTAGAGCAGATCATCTTCTTGTGGTTTGTATGGTTGATTTTTATTGTCATGGGCACAGTGAGAGTGAACACCTGCCAGGATTATCACTTCAGTTAAATGCCCCTAGAACAGCTTATTATTTGAATTGTCTCGACGCTCCACGTGCGGCATGACGGACACGATGACCGGTTATAGATTTAAGTCAGAGTTTATAATGTGCATGGGATATTCTGTTTCCATAGGAATTAAATTAGTTTGAGGGAGGGATACATTCTTTATGTAGGAATATATTGCTTGCTCAGGACGACTACTGCAATATTCTAAATGAAGTTTCACGACTCTCCAACCGTAATTTTCTCGTGAAAGTCGAAAGAAGCCTGGGGTATTGGGAATCGAGGGAAGTGAACATCGGGTTACGGGAAGCGAGTTTCTGTCGGTTGGGGCGAAAAGCATTTCATTTTGGAGGCTAGGAAACACGGGAGACGTCAAGGACCCCAGGTGGGTCGAGTTCAAGATGTATCCTTTCGCCACCGCCTCCACCAGGGCACAAAGGTTTCATTACCCAAGACTAAAAATATTATATTTTCCAGATATTGCGGTCAAAGCGTCGTCATCGCCTACTTTGTCCGTAAATCGCATAATAAAAGTTTTCCCGACCAAATATGGTATCCACGTTTCAATTTCGGCAATGCAAGGGAATCTTCTGTTTTTGGTAAGAGAATGAAGGGAAAGAGCTAATGTTTCCACATGAGTTTCTTTCTGAGAACGGAACTCTGATCTACAGATAACACGGGAAAATATCTCACGCGTTTGTGTCAAAGTACTCTATGGCGTACTTCGACACAAACGCATGGAATATTTTCGGCGAAGAATCATTATATCATTATTCAAAGGAATGTGGTTGATCATTGAAGCAATTGTAGCCATCGATACGCTCTCTCCCTTCGCATCTAAATCAAGTTTGTGCACGGCGAAACCACACAAAGCATTTCTGAGGGAATAGGTGCCCAACTGCTGCCTCTGTCCGACTTTGCTGCTAGCTTCGTCTAAATTCTGCCTCGGTTTCAGAAAGGTGCAGCGCAGGCTTGACAACTGCCTTGAATGCAGAGTGGACCTGTTCGGTCGGATTCAAGATAGTAGAATATGCTGGCGGAAACTTCGCGGGAACGTTAGAAAAGTCATCTGGAACCGAGACACGTTTGTGGGGTCGAGCATTATGAATGATGCCATGAACTGGTTCATCTGGTGGCCATCATGCATGATGGCCACCAGATGAACACAATGAGCTCCTGAGACACGTACACATGTGTACGTGTCTCAGGAGCCCCGCCAAGGATTCCGAATGCGTCGACAGAAACAGGAATGTTTCTGCGGCGCTGCCGAAATAGAAACGACTGCAACCGAGTTTGCAAGGACGGCCGAAATTCTTCGGGAAAACATATAATAAAAATTAAAGGGGTAAGAATAATATTCGCTACATTAGCGGAGTTAATTAATTAGAATTGGAAGGACCAGGACAAGCCTTTCCCCTTTCCCCTGTGCGCACAGGGCATCAATTGGCCGCCAAAGCACTGCAAAATACGAAAAAGATGCAAATTATCTTGAAATTCACCGAGTTAAACATATAAATATTTTATTATATTTTTTATTCTGTCACGATGGAAGTTTTCAAAACATCGATGCATCGACCTAAACCTGACCTGATAGTGTATGGATGCACCCGGGGGGGCTGGAGGAATCACTATTTTCTCGCCGCAAATGGGCGGAGGCTTGACTTGCGTCATTTCTTGCCTCGATCAGGGCGCGGATCAGGCCATCGTCCGTAATCTCACGACTGTAATCGGGAGTACGGGGGAAAGGTTTGACATTCGCGCCGTGTAATAAAACCTGCCATCCCTCCAACTATCGGAAATGGCATCCTCCGTTCATCGGGACTGTCTAATTTTTTCTTATGTCATCTAGTTTTTTTTTTTCTCATTTTCTTCCAGCTACACAATCCTCTTTGGACATCGGCACCAGTAGGTTGCAAGCCTGCCGATGACTCTATACCGGCGGTTGCCGATACATCGGTACAGCCCCAGATTCAAGCAACGTTCTTGTAAAAAAAAAAATTCACTTAGGATTCGCCTTCGTAAAGGGGGTATGTGAAGTGCAAAAACTTAAGCCTGCATACTAAAGAGAAAGACAGGAATATAGAGAGGGGGGTTAGCCAATGTACGTCTCAAAATCAAGGGAGTAAAATAACAGTCCACTTTCCAGGATTTGATCGTGATAGGAAATTGCTTGCCCATGCGAGTCACGCGGCCTCTTCATTTCCCGCCCGGACGGACTGAACTCTTCTTTATCTAATGGGACATTTTCCCTTCAAAGGTGTTGCCGATACATCGCGATGACCAGAAAAACTACGGATACCTCTAACCATCGATGGGGTATCGATGCATCAGCCTATCGTGACAGCCATAATTTTTATGTAAATTAGTACGCAATGTATTATCGATGCTGGGGAAGCTGGAGAGGTATAGAGGCGGGGATTGTGTAGCTGGAAGAAAATGAGAAAAAAAAACTAGATGACATAAGAAAAAATTAGACAGTCCCGATGAACGGAGGATGCCATTTCCGATAAAGAGGTATAGAGGCGGGGAAGGGGGGGGGGGGGACTGGATTGATGTCTCGCACAGAGCCCCAAATATCCTTGGTACGGTCCTGTGCTTGTGGCCTACTATCTGTACTATGTTGTGAAACATCAGCAGCCCCACTTGGCGCCCCCTGGGCCGCCAGGGGCCGTCACATTAAGTGGATGCATTATCCTTGAGGTGGCCCGACAGCTGATGCAGAATTCCAGCCGCTAAGTTACCGTTTCACCTCCACACTGCTTGGGACAATAGCCAACCCAGCGAAAACTATTCAGCATATTCATTATTATGGCGGCATAAACCTGTCCATCTTGAAGCTGCAATTTTTTTTTTTTTTTTGGGGGGGGGGGAGAAGAACGAATTATATTCCACCTCTTCCTCTAAGAGTTTTTCTACTCTGGGTCCCCTGAGGGCTTCATACCAATTTAAAGGTGCACGTTTCACATGATGCAATTCTTTGAAAAATGGCGGTCTCCTCCGCCCGGCTGCGGTCACGTTTTTCACTCGAGTCGGACAACTTTTCACTTAATGTGGACACTAGTGCATGGAACCACATGCTTGAGTGTCGAAGTCAAGTGAAAAAATGCCTGTCTGGAGTGAAAAACTCTTGATGGTAAGGTGACGCGGTGTTCCTGCTGCGTGCCTGGACTGGTCACCTCCGTTTCGGTCCACTCTGCTTTCCTTTCGCGTCTTGTCGTTCGAGAATATGGAGTTTGTTCGTTTTGAGTGTGTTTGGTGGTTAATGAGACAGGGCATTCGGTTTACTTAAGGCTTTTGGACTTTAAGGCGCAATGTTGATTGCGGAAGCCTCACGTGGAACCATGGTTGTGGAATTAGTTTTTTGTTGCTGTTAATTGAGTAGTGTGTGCATGCAATGAATTGCAGGTGTCATTTCAATGTTACTTCTATCATTTGAGACATGCTCTTACTCATTGGATGCATGATAGAAATAACTTCACACCTTGCAAAAGGTGGAATGAATTCATTTGTGAGTCGCAGTTGTTGAAGACTTCATCCTTGATTTGCCTGACAGCTTTGATTTCTTCATGGACATAAATAATGGAAGCAATTTTGTTATTGATTGTAGGTCATTCACGCACTTACAGATTTGACAAGTAGGCTTAGATCTCTCTTAGCACTTAGGCCTATCTTAGCTCATCTCAGTTTTTCCCCCCAATCTATCAGCTTCACCTCTTGGTTTCATTGTTGGCAGCAATCACTATTGTATCCCTGGCCTTCAAGGAGGATGAAGAACAAGTTACTTGGAATAATCGTGGTTCTATTTGTTCGGATTCCATTTTCATCCTCAGAGGTTCGGCCAGGTGAGGAAGACTCGAATCACCATTAGCAAATCTTGTAATAGGCCTACTTCTGTACTCTACATTTGAACCCAAAGGCCTTATTGAGGTCTAATATGAACATCTTTGCAGGGAACCCATGTGATTTTGGAGGATATGATTTATTTTGCACCTTATCAGTCCAAGATTTGGAATTGCACTTGGCTGGAACTAGAAATGAAACTGACATCCTCATGTCAGTAATGGTGAGGTGATGTTTCAGCTCTATACTAGGTCTAGTTGAAAATAAATATGGCTATTCCCTGAGAAGTTTGAGATACTCTGGTGAGACTTGTCTTGGTGGGCAAAAAAGTGAGAAGCACTATAAACGAAGCACGATAAACACAAAAATGCAAGATTATCTTTGACTTGGTGAAATGTTCTTATCGCATTGAGTTTTCTTTTTCAGATAATGGATCCTTCAATCAAGAGGGACCACACATTCAAAGTCAGACATGATGAATGTGTTCTGCTGGAGAAAGAGCTATCTGAAGGGGATGTCAAACTTTGCTTGACATTTTCCATGGACTCCAAGAGCAACTCTAGTGCCATCAATATATCTGTAATATTTTGACATTCATTTCTCAGATATGATATTTGTTACTCATGAGGTATTTATAGCTCTTCAGTCTTTGTTAAGGATACTGTATGGCCCTGTCATGGTTAGGTTGGTAACTTGTGCTATTGATTGAAAAAGTCAGGGGAATGAATTGAAAGGTGCTAGAAGTCTAGGGTTTTGTTGACAGCATCTATGAATCATTTTTACAGGTCACTTTGTATGTGGGGGAAGAGAGGGAAGGGCCATTTGAGTGGCCAGACCCAGATCCCGAGTACCACAAATCCAATGAGCAATCTCCTGTCGTTCGAGCCCTTGCAGGTGATTTGCTCTTCATAGGATTACTAGTTGCACCTTTTATCAATGATCAATGAATCAGTTCCATTTCCATTTCTTTTGCTTAATGAACATACTGCTTTGTCACCTTGTAAACTCTTCTAGCCCTGGCACCTAGGACTGGTCATTGTCTGGTAACATGCTTGATGAAATAGTATGAAAGCCATTTTTCAAAGTCCATATTTAAATCGACCTAAGCCTAAACCCTAAAATGTCATCAGGTAAGGCTTAGGCCTTCCTTTTTTCTCCTAAGAACATTTCAAACCGTGACTTCATCAGCCATTTATGCCTTTAATGGGCCATCTGTTTTTTTTTTTCCATCATCTTTATTGCTATAAATGTTGTACCAGCTGGTAGGAGAAGCTTCATTGCACAGAAGAATAAAATCCTAATTACTGCCATTTGGTGAATTTATAGAATTTTTGTATAAAAAAAACAATGAAAAGTTATAGTTTGCTGCAGCATGTTGCACCCAGAAACTGTTGTCCAGAATGTGTTGAGCAGTGAAAAATTAATGACTGAACTGGTTATTTTTTTCTTTTACCAATTACCTCATCATTTTGCAAAATTTTGTTCTGCAAAGAATTTAATAGATTTCCACATAGTTTTTTTTTTAGATTTTCATGAACATGCATTCATATTGCTAAGTAAATCATGCCACTTTGTTTTTTTTTTTTTTTTATTTTATTAAAGTTTTATATGTAACATTATTGGTAATAGTGCAAACTCCACCATTGTCTTTAATACCTAATG